GAAATTAGACAATTCTTTTTTTTTTTTTTTTTTTTTTTATTCTTTTACGTCTGTATTCAGGCCCTAGTGTAGGCATTAGGCGTGCTATCTATGATCGCTAGACACATTGGCTCCATTCTGGGTAGGCATGCCGGGGCGTGCCCTGAGGCTCGTCCACGTTCTCACCAGAGGCTTCCAAAACGGCCCTCCAAAGTCTCCTCCTATAGTAGCAGTTTGCGCGCCAAGCAAGACAGAGCCGCCTCTGCTTACTTGGCAGATTGTGCTAATAGCAGCTTCCGTCAGCGGAGAGCTACTTGTGCTGCGGTGCAGCTTCCTTGTATTTCCTGAACCCATGCTGGCCAGAATACTCTCAAGGGAGAGGGGAAAAACCTGTGCTAGCCATGAGGCCCAGAGCCAGGAAAAACCCTCAACAGCCAGGCATGGTGTAAAGGAAATGTAAAATGCTTCTTTAGTCCTTGCAGAAGGACCTAGAGAGCTTTTTTGTGGCGAGACTCGCGGCTCAAGAGGAATATGAACTCTCCAAAGTTCTCCTTTTTGTGGCTGCTAGGTCTTGCTAGCGCATAGCCATCAAAACCGCGGGTCGGTGGGCCTGTAAAAACGCCGCCACTAACAGCTGCTAACAGCTGCAAAAGTGGAAAAGTTTTTACAGGGGAGAGTTGAAATTAGACAATTCTATAACGAAGACTTACTGTACAGGGTAGCCCAGGTTCAGCGTCCGCAAACTGATTATTAACCAATTTAGTCAGTGGCCTAATTCTGCTGAGATAGGCCACCCGCGCCTGCCCCGCCCGCTTAAACTGGATCTTTTACATTGAAAACAGTGGAGACTGAACCTGAACTGGGCTGTACATACAGGGAATTCTAGGTTTAGCTCCGCAAACTGATTATAGCCAAATTTGGTCAGTAGCCTAATTATGCTGAGACGGGCGCACCCGCGCCTGCCCCACTCGCCCAATTTGGATTTTTTTTACATCGAAATTGGGGGACACTGAAGTGTGTCAATTGACTCAATTGTGCCGCACGGAGTTTCCAAGGAAGAGAACTTTTTCTTAAAAAAGTGTACCGTAAAACCCGAAACGGGAGTTGCGGGTGAGCACCTACATGGCCAAAATTAGCTTGTACCTGCTAAGTACCTTGTTGTGTGCTCTTCACAGGGCTTAACGGCCAGTTACTGCTGATTGTTTACTAGATATTCCACCCTAGTCATCGTTACGCACAGCACTAAGGCTCTGAAAGGCACGAAAATACGTTCCTAGATCTCTCGGTCGATCGTCTCAGCGCCCACACCATTAAAACCCAAATACTCTTCAGTTCAATTTCAACGATTTTCATTCTAAATATCTAATTTTTGGACAAGATCATCGCATACTCATGGCAATTTGGGTAGGAGACGACTAATTAGCCATGGGAACCTATGGAAATCGATGGAAGCTAGCGGAGAGGCCATGGTGTCCACATTGTCGCTTGCTGGGTCTGTCGCTGTGCAAGACCAGATGGACATGGAAAATCTTAATCTTGAGTATTTTGACAAGAAGTCATGATTATCGAACCCCCGGAAGGGACCGAAGTCCCGGCGTAAATACTCCCGCCGAAGAGCCCAACCGAGCCGACACTGAAACGCCTGCGAGACGACTCCCACTACCGCGACTGAATGATTGGGAAGCCGACAAGCAATATGATTGAGGTAACCCTATCTGTATCCATTACGATTTCGTATGGAAGAGTGTCCCTCCGTAAAAATATTAGACGACGGCCGATTACCGGAAACGATCAGCCGGATGATCTTGTCCTTGCTCCGAGTGATTTCTGGGAGGAAATCTTCCAAGCACAGCTTGAGAGTACCGTTGCAAGTAACGAGAGGCTTCCAGGACAGAGTATATGTGCGAAGAATGATTCCTTTTCTACTAGCAGGAGCATTTTCGGTGTCCTTATTCACACACTGTTTGTCTTACCAAGAAAGATTCTCCACACAGAAGAAGTGCTCTATGCTTGCCAATCAGAGGTTTACCGGAGATGCACCGAAAAGTGGATAATCATGACGTCGCCTCCTAGCCGGCGATCTGAGCTTCGTCGTTCTTTGCCCAGAACTGAGGAGTTGATAAAACTATAACCACGAGAAAATTTATAACGCCATGGTCCAAAGGGCAAGTCAGCTTTCCGCCAATGAGAAGCGCTCGAAGAGAGCGTCAATAAGTATTACAGAAAAAAGTGCTGTTGACGCCGTGTCACAAGATGCTACACCGTCGCTATCATTCAGTCGCCGCTCCTCCAGGACAGAGCATGCACAAGACCCGGAAAATCTCAGCCGGCTCAACAAAGCCACCTCTCATGCTTGTGAAAAATGTCGCCAAAGACGCTCAAAGGTGGGTTCAAAGCGACTGGGAGAGATAAGTAAGCTTCCTAGCGCAAAGTACTGATCATGGCTCAATCACAGTGCGATGGTCAGAAGCCGTGTGGGCGATGCAAAATGCGGGGTACCCATTGCGTTTACGAAGCGAGAGTGCGCCAAACGAAGGCACAACTCAAGGCGGAGATTGCAGCATTGCGCCGACGCCAACGGGTGTTAGACCAGCTATTCACAGATATCATTCGGCCGGAGCGACGCGAAGAGCTTATCGCATACATACGAGACTCGAAAATCCTGGAGGATGGGTTCGAACTGGATAACCTTGGGCGACGGCTTTCGGGAAGCTGTACTGACATGGCGGAGTCTGCTAGTACATCTAGTCGCAAACTTGTACCAAGCAAATGCGGAACGCATCCACAAACGCCAGTACGAGTCGATTCTACTGAACGAATCGCTGATGAGCAGCGTCTCAATCAATGCAACATAGGGAAGGATGAGACGCAGCTCCCGATTTCAAAGCCATCATGCAAGCTCTCACAAAGCACCCTACATTCGGATGTTGATACAGGGAGCAAACTGCAACCGACAGCTAGAACACGTCACGAAAATCCGAACTCTCGGCAGGTTCTAGAGTGGCAGCAGGGAATTTATGCAGCAGACCAGTTGTTGGATGAGCTAGATCTAGACTCTGCAATGACTTGGACCGATATTACCAGCGACACGGAATTTATTCGACATCTCTTAGCTCTTTATTTCTGCTGGGAGTACCCAAACTTTGCGCCGATTAGCAAAGAACATTTTCTTCGAGATTTTCATGATACACGACAACAATACTGCTCGCCGATGTTAGTCAATGCACTTCTTGCATTGGGTTGTCATCTCTCCGATCGACCTTTAGCCGCTGCTGACAACATCTCCATCATCGGCAATGAATTTTTTAACGAGTCGCGGCGCATCCTTCTTTCAACACCAGACCATCACCAAGTAACTACTATTCAGTCCCTAGTGATCATGTCATTACGAGAGGCTCGCTGTGGGCGATTCTTGGAGAGTAAGTACTACGCAGAACAGGCTATGCAGCTTGCTATTGAAATGAGTCTGCACAATGTACGCGAGGAAGACTGCGCCATTGAGCCTGATGTCCTCGCAAAAACGTTCTGGGGAACATTTACACTCAACCAGTAAGTTCCGGTAGAGCTCCACAGGGCTGAAGGGGACACTGATAATTGACATAGCGCATGGCCGATGGTGAAGGGTGAGCTGCCACACTGTCCGCCTGCACTGCACCGCCCACCCATGCCAGTAATTACTACCGACTTTGAGACGTCATCGTGGGCCCCATATGCGGACGGCGGTAAGTGACTTTCTCAGACACCTTGTTCACCCTTCAAAGCCTCATTCTTGTTTAGACGTGTATTTCGAGCCACATAAGCAACTCTCAAATGTACGGTCTCTGTATCAATATTTTTGCAAGCTGAACGAAACAGTTCATGTATCTCTACACCTTCTTTACTCGCCTGTCCAGTCTTTAACAGCTGCAAATCTGCTCCAAAACTACCACCTATATCTAGACTGGTATGACCAGCTGCCAAAGGTCATGCGACTAGGTCACAATTCAACGCCTGCGGTAATATTCATCCAGTACGTATAGAATTATTCTAGATCCTGTGGAAATGCTAATTTGCTAGTTTGTACTATCACCTCTCTGTTCTTCTTTTCTTTCGACCGTTCTTGCGAGTCCGCCTCATTGGATCAGGAATTGTTCCTCTGGAAATCTGTTTACAGGCAGCCGATGCCATGCAGCGTCTAGTCGGCTCCTACTCAAAGCTCTATACCCTGCGCAGGACACCGACTTTCATGCCTTTCTTCAGTTTTGCGTCCGCTACAATTTATCTGGCTACTTCTACCATGGTTAAGGAGCTGGATCACGGCAAGGTATCTGTCTCGCCAACTCCAGACGTCAACGAAACACTAAGACTCATTATCGCACATCTCGAAGAAATGGCTCCCTACCATTCTTTTGCCCAGCAGGCGCCACACATCCTACGCTATCTTGGTCGTAGGTGGAGTTTAGAATTTGATGTAAAGGCACGCAAGGGGCCATTACACAATGCAAAACCAAATATCATGATTGAGCAAACGCTTGGTGGTACAGCATTGGAGGATTCAATCGACACTGAGGGGACTGGAACAAAAGTGCACAGCTTTGACGGGATTTTATCCGCGCTGTTGGGACTGCAGCAAGAGTCAGTTTTGCGTGATGGGTTCGACTTAGCTGGGGCAGGCTTTTCCCTCCTTTAACAATTTGTGTAACGGACTGAGCAAGGTGATCGTTCAGAAGATTGATCACGTGGCCAAAGCAACGGCCGCGTGCCTTGCTGCGAAAATTGAATCTCTCCCCAGTGGTATCCATGGCAGTGTCATTGTTTGGTGCGTTGTCAAGCGTAAAGTACCCGATCTTCTCGTTTGGGATCTCGTAGGACTCGAGTATGTCGATGATTTCGTGCCCAATATTAGCCCCAAAGTGTCGAACTGTCAGCTCAGGCATCCCGAGGATGAGCTTGCGCGCCTTGCCATCCTCGGCCGTTATTTTGACACATGTGCACCAATTATTGCTCTGTTACAATAAGATCAGCTTTGAGCGATGCAGGAGAATATTGAAATGAAGATTATTGGCCGAAAAGTACAGCATTTGAAAAAGTGACACTCAAAACGCCTTTCTCGGTATATGTGCTAAAGTAACAACTGAGTTAGACTGCCTATTTCCACTGCTGGAAGTCTTAGATACCAAGTGGGTACTTAGAGTCGCTGCGTTGCAGCCTAGAATGGCTGCCAACTATTATGTTTATTTGACAAAAAAAGGGACATTAGTTTCGCCTTTTCCTGTAGACGTGCAACCACTTCAAACTAGAGAGAGCAACCTGAACACCAAGCGTATGCTGGATCTGATGGCTGTTAACCAGGATGATACAGCCATTTCACTCTATATTCATACTGTTCATCGGATCTTCGGGAGATGCGTATTCAGCAGCAGAATCCCGGCAGATCGTTTCATTACGGGTTGTTCAAGGCAAAGGTGGCAGAAGCTGATCTCACCCCTGCACAATTGGTCTGCTCAGGCTTATCTTGAGGCTACTTACCGCTGCTTCGACCGGTTACACAGGCTCTCCCCCACTTGCTGTGTCGCGGGATCTCAATGGGCGTAATGCCTTGCATCATCTGTTCATAGGGGAAAAACACGTGGATGAGGCGGCCGTACAACGTCTCCTTGAGCTGGGAGTTGATTGCAACGAACTAGGCGATGGCTCAAAGCTCGCCCTGGCGGACTGAATTTGGCTCACTTGCATGCTAAGTCGGCTGCCCAAGTGCAAGTGAAGATGCTTCGGGTATCATCCAGATTCAAGGTGGATCTTCAAGCTACGGATAACGAGAGCCGCTTAATACTGCATCACTGCGCCTTCCACGGTTCACTTACGAAAGAAGCCTTTAATATTCTTCGTTGCGAGGTGGAGTTATCATTGACGGAAAAGGATGTGCATGGTAAGACTGCGATAGACTACGTGGCTGCGATGAAGCAGCAGCCGTGGCATCTCGATATGTTTGACCGAGGCAGATGGTCGCGGGCAGAGGGCATACTGCTTGGCATTATGTAAACAAGCTTTGGCGTCACTGACCGGACATTTGGCCAAAGTACTCGACAAATAGCTCTCATCACGATTTCGCATACCAGTTCTATCCACATATGTTCTATGGAACTTCATTCTGCGACCATTGATTACTCACTTGTTCTCTTTGGAATCGTGTCTGTGGTGTTGTGCTATAATTTCAGATCGATACTGATCGTTTTGCAAGGCGCCGTACGCAAATCGCTACTGAAACATTTATCGTATCCGCCTGTGGCTCACAGTCTACGTTTCAAACTGCAATGGAGCCGAGCCGAGTTCTTAGCAGACCTTGCCTACCTAGGCTTCAGCATATTTTGCGTCTGTTTCAAAAGCCACGCTCTCGAATCATCCGGCCGTCGAGCGGCGAATATGTGTATTGGCAACCTCGTCTTTTTATACATCACACCGCATCTTGACGCTCTGACCAATACGACGGGAATACGGTGGCACAGTCTGTAGAGTTCATGGTTCATTGGGGATCATGGCAATTTTACTACTTGCCTTTACGGCAAAGACGACGCGATGACGCGACCCTTGGTGACGGTTGAGGAGGAGTACGCGACAATGCGACAGTCGCCAGGGCCAGTGTGGGCGGCAAAGGTGCATCAGTCTCCTTGCGAACGGGGAGATACCCGCCATCATCAAGCATAATCACGGTTGCCACAGAAACACAATTCATTGGTCGAATTTGGATCGGCTGCTGCCTTGTGAAACGTAGTGAGCCTGTTGGTCCAGTTCAAGTGCAGGGGTTCGACGATGAAGGACAGGCTTTCCCGAACAGGTTACGAATACATCTTAGGGCAGGGAGTGAGTAGCCAACACAGTGCGATTTAACGCTTGTCCCACTAACCGTAAGTAAATTGCATTATAGTAGATTCGCATTGATTTGGTGGCCTATAATCCGCCGCACTGGAAATGAGTCATAAAGAGTGCCACTTCATATATATTGTTTGCAATGGTTCGATGTTGTAGTTTATCCTTCGGCCTGTTTCACCACGCTGGCTTTAACAAGCCTTCTGACAGGAGTTTTGGAGACTTCCGATGTCGACATAAATGTGACGGAGTTGTCGCAGTTGATAACGATCTGAAACAAGCTACCTGAATCCTCTTCCCGCAAAGTATGCTCTTTGAACTCTACGGTACTACTTGATTCAAACAGAACGTCTGTCGTAACCCTCGCCAGGTCTCTGAGAGTGAAGCTTTCGTCGGGGATATCGAATTCACTCTTGGTGGCAATTAGACCTGCCACTGTTGGTGAAAGGCCCTGAATGATGGCTGAACTGGGGCATTGCAGTTTGTAGATCGCCAAGTGAGAGTTATTTGTTTTCGAATACCAGAGAGTATCCAGTTCGTTGTTGTACCAGGAAATGAACCACCAGTCTTTAGCGGCAGCAGCACAGTCGGGGTGGAAGTCAACTGTCATGTTCGGCTCGGCGCGTTCTCCTGCAGGGACTGACGCCCATTCTTGGCGATGTTTGCATGTATTGCCGTGCCTGTGAATAACTGAAACGGCGAAGAGCGGTGACGTCGTCTCGTTAACTACTGCCACGAAAGCTTTTCTCTTGGTTGCTTCCATGCCAAATCAATTCCAGCACGATTCTATTATCATCCATTTGAGGTGAGCCATATGCTTCAGCGATGTTGTCCTTTTGTTTTTGCTGGTGGTGCTGGCTGCGAGATGGTGCGTCGAGATTTGTATTGACAGTCTCCGGAGGAGGCAGGCAACAATTGTTGCGGTAGGGGGCACTGTTGCAAAACTCCCGTCAGCCCGGTTGCAGGGATTCGTGACCACGAATCCCTGCCCACGTGACCGAAACAAATAAGTAGTCCTCAGAGGAAAACAACAAGCCTCGTGGCATGCGCAGCCTTTACTGATAATGAAATCGTGTATCAAGCGTTGTGCAAACTTAAGGCTCCATCTGAACAATA